CCAGGAAGGCCCTTTTATCATCAACAAAATGTTAAATACATGAGGATATTACTTGGCAGATTTAGAAGGAAGATTGCAAACACATCCAATTAATGCTAAGTTTTTAAAGAAGTATCACCCAACTTTGTGGAATGTTCGATATTGTTACATTGTTGAAGTTTAAACACTAGAAGAAGGGTGGGATTCTTTTATTTATTTATTTAAAACAGTTAGGTATAAATGGACAAGTAATAAGTAAAGAGAGAAGTGTTCATTTCATTTCATCAAAAGGAGGTTACAAAAGATCTTAGCCTGACAAATTGACATCCCTAGCTAAGGCAACTGTTCTAGAATGGTAAATTTGCATAATAGTGAAAATCCTACCTGACTCTTCCAAAGCAATGTTGCTATTGGCCAGTTGGGCCTCAGAGTCCTCCACTTCAAGATTGACCCTTTTTACCTCTTTGATCTTTTGATATAACTTGCCTGAGAATGTCATTTGCTCATCCTTCAATGCAAAGAGTTGTTCCTCCAACTTTTGGATTTCAAATGTCACCACCATGTTCCTATCTTCTATGGCTGAGCCCTCTTCCACTAGCCGCTACAAGGAGTTGGAAATTCTGTTATGCTTCTCCTTGTAACACTTCACTCGATTTGTTTGCCTTTCTGCTCAAATATGTTGATCCCTTAGAGCCCTCAAGTTCTCGAAGAAGGAAAAGAATGACTCGTATTGGACCCTTGACATTTGTTGAGCCTTGTACAACTCAGTGAGTGCTTTCTCAGCTTCTTAGAGTACCTTGAGACTAAAGGAAATACTGAAGTCCCTCTGCATCCATTCGTTAAAGACTCGATGTAGATCCTAAAGAAGTTGAGGCTCAAAGGGCGCCTCAGAGACCTCAGCTTTGTCCTGATTTGCCTGAACTTTCTTACTAGTTCGGGGCAAAAAGACTGGCTGGAATAGATGCAAGAAGTGAAGGCATTACTCTAACTCCCCCAAAGGTAGCTTCAATAAAAATAGAGGAAGGGTCTGGGGCGGTAACAGCTTTTCTGAGCCTAAGGATGGGGATCATTGTGAATCCATAGGCCTTAGGAGGCCAAGGGAGGACCACCTTGTGCACCGTAGGCTAGGGAGACTTGCCTGAGCCTTCGCATAGAGCCTGTTTTAAACCAAGAAAAAAGTGAGTAAGAGGATTGTTTTACACTTAAATTGGAGAAAAACTAGAAGTGAAAAAACTTGTATACCTGAGTTGAACCTTGAGTTTTATGAGAATGAACCTTTGTTGGTGCGCTGCTTTGGAAAAAGCAGGCAGGCTGACCTGAGAAGAAGCTAAAGGAGCCTTGGGGATAGTTACCTCTTAGACAATAGGTATCTTAAGAATTATAGGCTCCCTGAAAGCTGGTGGTGGCTGGTGTGTTGTCTCGTGCACTAAAGAAGATTGGCAAAAGCAATACACAAATTAAAAGTTATTGAAGAAACTTGAAGAGAAGGTTAAATAAGGGCTTAAGAATAAGAATATTACTAAAGTATTGTCATCCTCCACATAATGAAGCATTTCCCCAGTTATTGGATTAAACTGGGAAGTGGGAGTGACCACCATGGGATGAAGAATGGAGGAAGAAGTAAGGGTTGAGGTTTGCCCAACTTGAGGTGTAGAGGTGCCACCCCTTGCCTGGAAAATAACTAAAGTGTTTGTTAGCATTTGAAAACTTAGAAAACACAAAACTTAACCAATGTTGAGAGAAGAGATTGTACATCTGAGGGCTTGGCCTAAAAAGGCGAAGAACGCACCAATTGAGCTGGAGGATAAAAAGGCTTAAGCTGGGAGGTTCCCTCTGCTCTAGTGTCCTATTCCAAGAAAACAGCAAGGACTCAGAAATAGTGGTGAAAAGTGAGAAGTTCAACATTAATTTAGTACTCAAAGGTTGATAAGGTATACCTTCAACTCCTCAAGGATCTTAGCGAGGACCTCCTTGTCTTCTTGTTGCACCTCTGCACCCGACTACCCCTCTCTGGGAGTAGGGGCAGGTTTCTTAGTCGCTGGAGGCCCTAATAACAAAAGACATGAGGGATTGGTTCAAAACTCCAAGGAATCAGGTTTAGAGGGAAGAAACCAATCTAGAACACTTACTAGCAACTTTATGTTTCTTCATGCCCACTTCGATTGGATGGACAGAGGAAGGTTTGGAGGAGGTTTGAGACCTAGTTCTCTTCTTGGTGGGACTAGTTCTCGAGCCAAGCAAGACTAGTTAAGCTTGAGGCCTTTCCTCGGGCTCAGATTCTGAAGACTCCACCACGGTCACCCTTGCTTGACAAGGAGCCCTTGTTTCAACTTTAGGCCTAGCCTCGGCCTCTGGCTCACTGAAGAGCTCAGAGATGTCTCCAGCATCCCCAGTAGATTGGTTGGACCCTACTCTTTGCCTTTCTACCTCAGCAGCAGCTTCTTGGGGGCCATGGTTGATTTCGAAAGGAAAGAAATGAAGTTGATTGAAGGCGATTGAAGACAGCGAGCAAGAAAAGACTGAGAATGCAAGAGGGTCGAGAATTCTAGAAATTCAGATAGATGGGTTTGCTAGAAGTGACGGCCAATGAAATTTGAATGGAGGTTATTTAACGTGCAGTTAGTTAACGTTGGAGATCGTGGGTTAGTGCAAAGGTTTATTCGAAAACGGCTGAGTAAATGGCATGAGTCTCGAGTTAAAGTAAGTAGTTAATATTTAATCATTTTTAATGTCTTGGTTAACAGACTTAACAATGATTAAAGAGGGCACTATTTGGGTTAATATTTAACACTAGGATTTGTAGTAATGAAGGCTCAAAGGCGCCAAAGCAAATGAGGACTTGCCCGAGTCCAATCGATAGGCTCAAAGCAAATCGAAATCATTTCAGCCAAGGCATAAGCCACATGCCTATAATTGAAGTGATGGGCAACAAATAACACCTCACCAACCAGCCAAAAAGCATTTTTCAATGGCATGAATAAGTAAATAAGTGATCACTCACTGCCCTCCGAATGTTATTAACTAAAGCAAAGCCAAGACAGTCGGGCCAAATTGTCTATAAAAGTTTAGAGGGGAGGGACACCAGAGATAAGGACACTCAACCAACCAATCAAAAGGCATACAAACTCTGCTCTCAAGCCAGTTCGTACCCAGAAAGCTGAACTTTGTCCAGATCTAGTCCTTTTAGCTATAGTTCCCTAATAGAAAGCCATCTTTTGTCTAGTGTAAAAGCACTGCTACCTTCCTTTAGTGTTGTAGTATCGAATCCCTCAAGTAAAACCTATTTACTTTCCATCCCTCTTAGCACCCAAACCTATGTAAACACAAAGAGAAGTGGTTGCAAGAAGTTCAACCTTGCCTGACAAGGTTAAATCTTGCGCGAGTCTCTTTTGTCTGTACATATATTTAGTAGATTTGTCGTTTAATGTACTTTCCTTCATGTATCTAAGTCATTTTCATCTGTTTTCTACTTAAGAGTTTCATTTGCATTCGAACCTAGTCAAGTTATAAAGCCTGTTTTTATTAAAGTGAACTTTGATCGAGGAAGTGGTTGGAAGGGCCCTGGACCCCCTTCATTTTGGACATACAAAACTATGAATTAAAATTCCTTATTTACAAGGCAAGAAAAGAACTTAATGCAGACTTAACCCATCCTTTGATAAACAAGAAGTCTAAGTAACTTAGGGCGCAAGTAATCAACTTAAATCACGTTAATCCAACAATCTATTAAAGAAAGATAACAATGGCATGCTCAAATCTTTGTTAGTTTTGATTGTGAGCCTCAAGGCCTACACCAAAGGCCCCACAAAAGCACCTTTCAAACTAACTGTAGACTCATCTTGCAGAACACCCAGTAGCAAGAACTTGCCTGATAGGCAAGAACGTGCCATTTTGTCGGGGAGCTATGCGAGGGACCAGTTCTAGAATCCTACCCGAACACCCTCCATCCCCAAAAAATTCCCATCCACCTCAGCCTCCACAGCTACAATCCCACTTGCTTGGTATTGTTAGCCATGGTTGTCGACTTTCCCTTTGTTTTCCTTCCAAGGCTCCAACCCACTTGCCTGCTTGCCATGGTTTTCATCGGATTTTAAAAGCCCCCAGATCCCTCCCTCCCAGGCGCCATGAGTTCTCTCTGCAACTCCCATCTCCTCTGTCTACAAGCAAGCAATGCCAAACCCCATAAACCTAGACCTGTAAACGGGTCGGGTTTATTGAGCTTGGGTTGAATTCGACCCGACCCGTTAATTTAACGGATCACCCAAACCCAACCCGTTAAGCTAACGGATCACCCAAACCCAACCCGTTTAACTAATAAGTCGCCCGTTTCACCAATTTCACCCGTTAACAATTTTTTTTTTTAAAACATTTCATCCAAACCAAAAAAAGGTTGGTGCTTTCAGTTGTTTTCTTCTGCTACCTCAAAACCCAAGTCTCCCTTGCAACCGACTCCATCACCGCCAACCAATCTCTCTCCGGTGATCAAAGCATTGTCTCCGCCGGTGGGATTTTTCCTTACCCGGGCATTGAACTACAGCGTCAAGAATTGAATGACTAGGCTTGCTTTGGAGTCCCTCGAAGCAGATGTTAAAAGGCCAAACAACTTGGTTGACAAGTATAAAAACCGAGCACGTTTCTACTTGCTTGTCAAGTGTCGGCACATTGTCAAGGAGGTACAAGACGTTACCAGGTATATCGGAAGGTCTTTGGCTGCTCTGTCCGTTGCAAACACCGACGTCTTATTGTGGATATCTGATCAGGTGAATAGTATTATGGACTAACGGGATATTTCAGTCCTAATCAAACACTAACTGGGTTTTACGAGTTAGCCTCTCTCCACGCTTGTCACAATATCGCTTGTATAAAAAAACAAGACGTAGACAAAGTCTGGCGAGACTTCCAAGCCGCAGTAAAATGCATTAAAGCATGCCTTATTCTTCTCGTACGTTAATTTCACTACCCTATTCTTTTCAAAACTTGACCCACAATCTAGTTAGAGGCATACAAGCACAATATTACTATGCAAAACAAAAGCAAGGTATCCATACTCTTGTTCTTTTAACTGAGTTCTCAACTAAGGTTAAACGAACCGTTGCCCGCATATTATACATGCCCATATGGCAGCATTGTGACTACACGTCAATTAAACTCAAAAAATCTTATAGTACACAGAAGGAAAATTAATCAAGATTCGATCAAACTGTTTATATATGTCAGCTTCGGAATGAAAAGTAACAAACCTACCAACACATCACCTACGATAGCGGTGTCGTTTGAAGTTGAAGTATACGTGCAAAATTCCACGTTCAAATGTGCATTTGAACCCCTTTTTGTGTGAGTATTCCCATTCTTTGTTTACTATCCGGAACGCCTACAATCCAATTAGAAGAGTGACTAAGTAATTTCATCCTGAACAGGATCATAACCAACAAGATTCAATTACCAAATCAAGAACACTTACAATGTCCTCGTAGGGTGGCCCTGCATGGAACCTTATAATGCATGTCTCACTGCTGTTGCCATCCTTCTCTATCGTATAATGTGGGGCCTTCGTCTTGTCAACAAGGTCCGGATAGAAGATGTTGAACTTGTATCCTTGCACAATCTTTGGAGGAGGGTTATCATGATCATAGTGAGTCTGATTGTACTTGTTCCACTCGTATCCGGTGTGAACACGGTTGAAATATTTCGGCTTTCTAGGTCGGTACTTGTCATGCCACCAGTATACCTACATCCACATTTATTTCATCAAATTCTGCATAAAGATCTGAGAGATGTGCCCCACTACAATTTCAATTTTCCTTGAGCACAACTGCGGGAAAAAAAAAATGTGCAAAAGAAGAGAATGGACAAGATGAAGTACCTGTGAGTCAAGGTTCACTTCAGAACCCGTGCCAAGAACTGCATCTCCTTCAACCATTTCTCCCATGAATTTCATGGCCTTCATCTCAAAATTATCTTCTGGTGGAGCTGGCTTTGATGTCATAGCTTCTTGAATCCGCCTCTGTTGTTCTTCTAACACAGCTACACGCTTCCTTTCCTGTTGACATACCACAAGACTCGTGCGGTTACACCAATGCACTTGTACAAAGAAATCTTACCAGTATTAGGACCTGAATATTACCAGTATAGCCCTGTCCTCTTCAGGGTCGATTACTTCCTCATTTTCATCTCCATGCAACAGCTCTGGTGAAAATGACCCAGCCTCTTCCTCAGCCACATGAATCTCCTCCTCCATGGATTCTGGAGAAAATGCTTGAGCATCTACATACAAAAATGTATTAGCAACCCGTATTCGTAATAAAATCATAAACCCACAGGTCAAAAGTGTGCATACCTTTGACATCAGACTCACTCTCCTCCTCTTCAGGCTGTGAATCATGAACCCTATCCAAGTTCTTTTCACCATCCTCCCGTTTCTGAAGCCGTTGCAAATGCTTGTGCAACATTTTAGCATGGATTTCTTTCAAACAAGCCTGTATTGGATGGAATTAAATAATGAGTCCAAACACTATATCCTATATAAAGTTGAAAGACATTAAAGAATGTAAGGATAAAGTACCTTGGCCTTGAATATATGGAGGCGTGTGAGAACAGCCTCCCAATACTCAACAACCTTGGCTGTTCCAGAACGCATTTCTGACTCAATTTTGGACTGTAATTCCTCTAATTCCCTGAAGGTCTTTCCTTCCAAGAGGTTCTTGACATCTGCTTCAACGCTAGTATGCAAGCCTCTTTGTTCTGCAAGCAACTCAGCAGGAGGTTCCTCTCCACGAACCTTAGCTCGATCTATTGCATCTTTTTTCCGACCTTCAGCTAGCTCCCAATCACAAACCACTAAAAGTGCCTGTCAAATTGTATATTAGGATACAGTCCCAAAACAAATTTTGCTTTTAATATATAACTATTTAGGCACCATCTACATTAAATTACTAAATGTTTAGGCAATTAAATGAAGTCCAACTAATTATAACTATTGTTTGCAGCTGGCAAAGTTGCAACTTCACATGCCTTTGATTCTCTGATTAGCTCATTGGGTACAGCTAACTAACTCTAGACAACCCAAAGGACAAAAAAACATTGAATAAACAGAAAAATAACCAAATAAAGGAGCATCATTACTGCTATATTTGTTAAAGCCTCCAACCACATCGATAATACAAAATATTGAGGCAAGCAAACCATATCATAAAACAGGAGACACTAACTAATTAGCATAGCTTGATTAATCTGAAGCACTCGTATCAAGAGGTAAAGTATCCATAAGAAACTTTGTAAGAGGTAGAAATGTACTAAAAGGAAAAGAAAGAAAATAATACCTCCCAGTACTTCACATGTGTTTCTGTTGCCCTGTCCAAATCAAGGTGCATTTTGATGTCATCTCGAAGCTCTTCCATTTCCTTTACAGTCAATCCCTGCATTGTACATGTCAAATGCCAATGTGAATTATGATTCAAACAGTTCAATCCATGTCATTATTATGTTTATTAATGCACACAACACCAAATTACAACATTGAAACAGAAGACACTGGACATTAAATAGAGATAAACATTTGATTTGAAATGGCAAAGCTAATGCTTGTTTCATGTGATCAACTTTATAACATCTGTCTCGAGATGGAGAACTGAAAGAAAGTAATAATTTCCTAAATATTGAAAAAATAAAATAGAAATTGATGGTCCAGGCTACTATTGCAAGAATTAAGACTCTTGCTAATTGAGAACTCTAATTAAGAATCAAGTCGATCAACAATAACAGAAACCAAGCCCTTCCAGATCTAAAAGTCATGGAAAGAAACATTCATTAACTCTCTTTCTATCTCCACTCATTGCACAGGAAAGGTGCCTAATAATTTCCATACAAAATAGAAATGAGAAGCAAATAAATTGCTGTGAAGATTAAATAAATTTTTGTGAAAGTATGCACAAGTCTCCCAGGAATATTTACCATGAAGACCATATATGGCTCGTCTATCTCAATCTCAAAGTCATCTGAGCCATTCAGATGTTTAGACAGTACATCAATTGGCTTAATACGCCCTTCACGCAATCTGATCTCTGACCTGACTTTGCTTTGGTCGAAGTGGAACTGTACGTAGAACATGTTGATTATCAAATTGACAGGTAAAACAAAATCTCAACACGTTCATGTAAGCTAGAGCAGTGGAAAAGAAAAATGCAAGTTCAACGCAAAAATTGGCAAGAATAGGAATTTATTGATTGAATTCAGCACCACACCTCTTCTTCTTTTTTCTCCCAGTCTTGGAACTCAGCCCGAGCACGTTCTCTGGCTAGCAGTGCCTGCAGAAAGAAATCAACTTTACTTAACCGAAAAGCAATGCTAGACTGATTAGGAAAAGGAGAAACTATAGAACTAAAAGTCTCATTTCCAATGGGAAAATGCATTCAGATTTTACCCCAAGAGGTGTGTTTGGAAGTGTTTTTAAATGAATGAAGGCGCTTTTGATGAAAATGCTTTTGGAATACTTTTGGAGCCAATCCTTATTAAAAATGCAAGTGAATCCTGGAAAAGCATTTTGGAGTGTTACCTGCAAGAAGCACACTGGTGCTTCTTCCAAAATGCACCTCAAGTGCTTTCGCAACCCAAAAACACTTTCACCAAGAGCACTTTACGTCATTTTAAAAGCACTTCCAAACATGCCCAAGATCTTCAATGAAAAAATATAAGCCATACCAGGCAATAAACTTACCATTTCTTCCTCATGTTGTGCTTTCTCAAGTGCCCTTTCTTCCCTTCTTTTCTTGACCTTTTCAATCTCTGCCTGAAGGATGAGTTTGTAATAAATATATTAAAATTCTAAAGATGCAAACTGAACAACTGTAAATTACTGAGGCTAAAAATCCCATGTTTTAATCATAGAACTCATTTATTTTGCAATCCCAGGGCCGCAAGATGGCCTCTGAAGAGAAATTGGTCTTGTGATATATTAAATAGTTGTAACAAAACCTAAGTGGTATGTTTATCTTCCTATTTAGCTAACTTCTGCAGCACATCCTCCATGAAAAAACTTCTTTAGCACATGGGTTACTGGATAATTGGATGGTTTCTATACTCTTCTTGTTCTTCATCCTAGCTAAGCAGGAGCTCCATCAAAAAGTAATTTAGCAGGCTAGTAACTGGATGTAAATGGTTTCCTAGAGTCTTATTCTCTTGTCTCTGCAGTCAATAAAGTACAAATGTAGAGACAATGAAACAGAACCGCCAACCCACCTAACTTTCGTCATGGCCAAGGCACAGGATTAATCTATTTGGAATACAATACATAGTGCATGCGTGCAGTACACAGTTACCTAAGAGAGAGTAAACTTGAGAAAAAGAATGAGCGTTAGTCTCAGTGTAGGGTTTAGTTCCCTTTGTATTCCTAGCAATTTCAAATGCCTCTCTTGCCTATTAATTATCCTAAAAGGTTTATCGAGATATCAAAATGACTATGCACTAGTAAATTCCTTTTCTATCTGCATCCAATCCTAAGTGAGGACTCAGGATTATGTTCCGTTCTAACATAATAGAAAGAACTGTCAATTTGTGATACAATTTAGAAGTTTCCTTGGGACGTATCAGGAAGAATTGGAATGTAATAACAACGATCTACATAGATCCATTTATATGGATGCAGAAAAAGGCTCTCAGTCTCTATTTGTACAATGTCAACAAACTTCAGCAGCTAAGCTTGTTACTCCATGTAATCCATCTTGTAGTAACAACTAATGCTGATTCCAGTAACTTATAAGATAAAATCGAATTTTTTGGTCATGAATTTCAATCGAATTCTCCAGGGATCTTCCAGCAACAGAATAAAATTATTTCCAGACTCATGAACTTCTATACTGAGCATATTCTCTAACTTATGTATCTGACATTTTAACTGATTGGAACTAAAAGTCCAATAATATATAAACCCCTGTTTAAGACTAATAATTCCATAACCACAAGGAATAGAACACAACAATTAGAAAAGTAACAAAAGAGAAGTAATTTTGGGCTAGAATTATGTACCATTCTTTCTCTCTGTCTTTTTCTTTCAGCCTTAACTGAAAACTCGTCAAGCGGAACACCATGTGACACATCACGCTCAATCTTCTTTCGCCATACAAACCTGAAAATGGCACAGTGTAAAGTTACAAAAGAAAGAAAAAAAAAAAAAACTTACAATCCATTAAGCATATCCTAACAAAACATATGTATATGTCAGCCACCACATACCAGATAGATAGTTGAGCCAATGAGATATGCCAATAAGACTACGAAACTATAGCTGTACTAAAAAAAATATACAAATCTGAAATTTACTAAATACAACCAACTATAATGAGAATATAAAAAAAGGAGGAAAACACCCTGTAACATATGAATGGCCTATGCTTCTAGCAAAATGTAAACAGTTACGTTTCAGCATAAACGCTCTTCCTCATCCTTTGAGGTTAACGATATTCAACACTCATAATTGACCGTATTATAAATGAAAGCTTTCCACGATTGGTACGCATAAGCATTCAATAACCTATTGCTTCACAAAGCCAACTAATTTCGCAATAGCGTGTCCAAATGTGCTCTATAACCCAACATCGAATACCGAACCCAATGTAACCAACGAATAGAATCTAAAACCCACAAAAATTAATAAAAACTTACATCTCATTGAGATTGGAATCGCCAAAGGGATTCGAATCATTCGAGTAACCCGAAACCGTCTTTGATTTTATCTTCTTGGCTACTCGAGCTGCCTACTCAATCAAAACCAAGAGCAAAATACAGTCAATATCATAAAATTCACAAAAAATTGCAAAACGAAACCCTAAGAGACCAAATCGCAAACCTTCTTCTGTGCCTTCTTAGCCAAGTACTCAGCGATTTGCTCCTCCGTAACGTTCTTCGACGATCGCTTCGTCTTGCGGTCACGTTCCTCGCTCTCATCGCTGTCGTACGACTCGTCGTCGGAGTCCTTCCGACGGCTGCTCTTTCTGCGACTGATTCGTTCCTTGCGCTTCCTGGAGCTCCTCGCCGGGGAGGAGTCGTGGCTGTCGGAATCATCGGGCTCGGTATACGACGCGGAATCGGAGTCGTCGGATCTTCTTCTGCGGCGACTCTTGGAGGAAGACGACGGCGCCTCCTTTCTTCTGCTGCTGCGTCCGTGACTGCCCATATTTCGCGATTTTCCAGAGGTTTTTTTGGGTTTGTATCGAAACGAATGGATATACAAATTCAAATTGGAGTTAAGTCGGTCATATTTCGGGGGCCCAAACCCGGCCCATCTTTATTATTACATGCCTTCAACCAAAAAAGCGGGAAAGTTGGACACACGGGAAGCGTGACAAGCCCTTTTTATTTCAAAGGTCTTGCCGCTAAAATTTAAAACATTTTATACTATAAAAATTAGGATCACGCTAGTGATGTAGTAAATTCGATACGATCCATACTTTCATGGAAATTTCTAAAAATTCAGAAAAAATATATAGAAATAGGACGTGAAATCTAAACATAACCTCATATTGGAGAAACTTTTAAAAATTGACAGATATCGTTGATATTTTTGATACATCTATTAAATATATAAAAAAAAACTCTTATATTTCTATCAAACCAATATTTGTCAATCTCTAAAGTTCCATTTTAAATTTCCATCATGTCCATCAAAAGCAACTTGAGATTGATATCGATTCAATATATCCGTACAAATTTGCACATCAATATTTCCATCAATACCGATATTTTAAACATTGGATGCCGCACGGCATGATTTCATTCGGTTTATATCTTTGAAATGCACACTAAGCCAACATTATAGTTCGAATAAGATATGACCAGTAGAAGAAAAAAAACCTAAGTCGAACCAAACCACACTATGGCACCCCTAATTCCTATTTTATCAAAAGTTCAACGCTATGGTTAGAGTTGATGCAGGATTAGGCGAGACTTTACCTTAAAGATCAATGAAATACGACAAGCTTAGTTACACAAAAGATCCTTTTAAGACCTCTAACATTTTATTTGTGTTTCTCTACTTACCTTCGATATCACCTCAACAGCTTTCGAGTTGCTCGTTTAGTATGTAATTGACGGAAGAGGGTTACTAAACCATCATAACGTCAGGGTTTAACTTGGTTTTCGTCAATTGATGAGATTATGCAATAGAAAATTCAAATGAAAACGGAGAATTATGTTTGCCAAAATATTAAAAGAAGTTGAATCCGAAACCCCGAAATACTAAAGTTCCGAAAATTCATCGGTTCTATCAGTATTACTACAAGACCAGAGCGATGTATAGCAAAGAAGAACTTAATGTCTATGAAGGAAAGAAAAATACTCTGCTGTGAGAACAAAAACTAGTAAAAGAAAACATTGTGATGGGCCAAAGACAGAAGGTCATGAGCTAAGAAAAAGCGTCTAACCATCTCCGATTTTCAATTGACTGCAACCTCGGCAGAAAGATAACTTGGATGAATGTTCTCTTTGTTAGGTACCTTCGTCTTGGAGATCTGAAGCACCTGAACTGCTTCTTCCACTTTCGCAGTCAAAGACTCGGGTGACTCCAATAAATTCAGCAGCTCCGAGTTGTCCATTTCAACTAGCATCCCAGTTATCTTTGAAGCTAGGTCGGGCTGCACGTAAAAGCGGTGAGTAAATTTTAGTATCGGCCCTTAATAGCCTGTGTTTGGCTGATACCATATTTGAAAGTTTTTTAAAACGATAGAAACAGCATCAAGAAAATTAGGATATGTTCATTAACGTCTTGCAAATCAGAAAATGCAAAATCCTATTTGTTGTTTTCGTTTTGCAAAACAGTTTTAAAAAATCGTTATAAAAAACATTACCGAACGGGCCCTTTAGAAATTTTGATGGAGCATTAATACTGCTAGAGATGACAACTATATAAACTTCCACACCGGTATGCTTAAAAAGAAATTAAACATCAATGTGGTGAAAGCATCACCTTTTGTTTATGTACGAGTGGGTAGAGCTGTTCGCCAAGTATCTGTTTCTGCTGCTCAGGAGAAGCAGCAGCAAGCATGCTACTCAGCATCTCTGGTTGAACCCCAACTCCAACAGAATTGGAAGCAGCAGACGAGACTCCTTTATTCATGTCGCGTTGACGCTCATTAGCAACATACTTAGCCTGCCCCATCCGCTGCAATGAATGTCATTTAGAGAATTAGAATTTCATGAGTAACGGACACATCAGGCATACTTAAAAGCCGGGGAAACAAACATTCATCTCAGTCCTAAATAACTTGTTGGTTTTTATTCCTTATTAATTTTTTAATGAAACCCAACAGTAATCAATATCAGTACTCGCTTAATAGGTTCGTTAAGCACTGAAAGGTATAAGTTGTGCGGGTTATATACAAGGTCGTAATACACACAACGATGACAAAAACCTGAAGTAAGAGAAAACATGCCTGCTGATTGTTTGAATCTTTTGCAGTGTATGGCAACTGAGTGGGCTGTTGTAAATGTGGTATATATGCGCCTCCCTGTGGGATCATATGCCCGTTCATTCTGCCCCTGTATTGCCTATGTTGTCTTGGAGCATTTGGCATCTGGAAATGGAAGATTTTTGAGTTAGCACAAGCACGATTGCTATATTAATTCTCTGCTTTTTTTAAAAAAAATCCAATTATTCACATAATTGCGTAAAAAAAAGGCATAAAAATATGCATGCAGATGACTGCATGAGCTAAGATAATTAGGCACAGGAAGAATAGTACTCACTACGGGAACCTGTGGTGGTTGATAGGCTGGTCCGGACGTAGGTACAAAGCCATTGGGTATCCATCCTGGCCTCAAACCCAAAGGTTGATACATCAGTCCCGGTCGAGGAGGCACTTGTGGAACAACCCCAGAGGGTGCTTGGTAGTAGAAAGGAGGGTATCCACCAGGGATGCAAGTTGTGGAAGGACCCACAAATCCTGCCATACGCTGTGCATACTGAAGCTGCAGCTGTGCGTGTCTTTCCTCTTTTAGTTGAGCAATAGCTACATACAATGGCTTCTGACGAAACATGTATCCTGTGAGATATCAGTGGCAGCATGATTAGCAGCTCGAAGAAAACACGAAATACAAAGGCTAACACTTAGCTTAAAATTCTTACCGTGAAATAAAGACCATAAATTGAAACACATTTAAAAATGTACGCATTAATTATAGAGCAGCAGATATTATATGATTAAGGAAGAGAAACATAGAATACGTGTGTTAGTTCCTTATAAATAATCGTAAATAAAACCGGTTAATATCAAAACTGAGGGATATTACCATACAAAGATTTCTTAGCTTTAAAAGCAACAAATGCATGTAATCAACTTCTTACCATGAAAAGTATTCACAGCTTTATTGCCCTCCTCAGGGGTAGAAAAGCAAACAAACCCAAACCCCTTGCTTATTCCTTTGTCGTCTCGCATAATCTTTGCAGAAGTAATCGTTCCACACTGACTAAAGTGTTCTACCAGTTCTTCATCACTGACATCATCGTCAATGTTCTTCACATACACATTTGATCCCTGCATATAATACAAAGAAATAGAAAGATCAGATGCTACTATAATGCCCCGTTGATTTGCGGAAATGCATTGGTGGGAAATCGATCCCCATGTCATTCCCCTGTTTGTGATGTTGAGAAAGTAAACCATGGGATATCACTTTTTTTTTCCTTTCCCATGATGACGCGGTGTAATTAATCTCCCATACAAAACATGGGAAAGCAAAAAATTTCGATATGCAAGCCCCATTTTTTGTAAACCTAATGGAGCCAAGAGATCTTGGGAGAGCAATGGGAAATCAAACTACCTTGAACTTCAACATTTGCTCCTTTCGTTTTTCCTCAAACAGCCGACGCAAAATATGCTTGCGCTCTGCCTTTTTCTGAGCCCTTGCTACATACAGAACCTTGGAGCCTAGTCAAAATAAACCGCCAGACCAAATATTAATGGTCTGTATATAGAATTCTATATTCCCAATAAAATTTTAATGCCATAAAAAATGCATAATTTACCAAGTTGTGATCCATTCATTCCTTCCATTGCTCGTCTAGCATCATCTGGGTTCGCGAAGTTCACAAAACCAAAACCTCTAGAGTTCCCATGGTCATCCTTTGCAATCGCGAAGCTAACAGTTTTCCCAAATTCAGAGAACTTCTCTTCCACAAGCTCTTCCTTGAGAGTTGGATCCAAATTATTCATATACAAATTTGTATATTTAACATCAGGATTGGGAAAAACCCGATCGCTCTTTCTAACAAATTTCGCAACATACCTGTGACACGAGTTGTAATTATTGTATGATTAACGTCAGAGACAAGAAGGAAAATGTAATTCCATCAAGAAAAATTCATGAGCAAAGCATCATTCAACAAAACAGGAAACAACTAAAAAAAAACCTGCACATACAGCTGCTTATTTCTGACAGTGGTGCCATTTAGCTTCTCAATAGCGGCAATCGCAGATTCCTCAGACTCAAACTGAACAAAGCCATAACCTTTACTCTTCCCATCTTCAAACATGGCCAATTTGCAAGACAAAGTACGTCCGAACTTCTTAAACATTTCTTCAAGCTCTACACTATTAATCGATTCGCTCAAATTCTACAACAGAAAACCAAAATAGTATTACCATATCAGCATTTCTCCATGACTTAGGTCTAAAGCAACGAGACATACCTTGACAAACACATTCCCAATTCCACTTTTCCTTGCGTCGGGATCACGATGTGACCACATGACCCTTATCACTCTTCCATGCAGCATTGAATGGTTCATCACCTCCATAGCTCGAATTGCTATTTAAACGAAAACCAAACGCAATTAGAATAAGATTATGACCATATACACAACAATTTAACATTTGTGTATGTTCCCGCGGGCAGGTGCATGGGAGGAGCTGTCCCTCTTTACAAGCCAAACAGATCAATCGAGAAATCGCACACATTGGAACAATCAAACAGATCAAAATCGTAATTCCTCCCTGTTCTATTTCACAATGTTTATGGATATCTAAATTCCAATAATAATAACACAAGAATCTCAATACAAAACATATACTAAAAAAATTAAATAAATAAAAAGTTAAAAAAACTCAACTCAATTTTTATGAAAATTTATCGTATATTTCCAGTCAGGAAAAAAAAAATCAAATTACTGCAAACAGATTAGTCGCATGCACTTTCTCAGTAACCAAACAGAACAAATAACCAAAATTCAATTACTTAACAAAAACCAATAATTAATTAAATTAATTAATACGAGGAAAATCAACCTTCTTCAGGCGTGGTGAAGTTGACGTAGCCGTAGCGGAGAGAACGGTTGGTGGCGGTGGCGGTGTCCCTGCCGAGCCGTACGGACGTGACACCTTTGAAGCCTTTGAAGGCCTCCTCCAGCTGAGCTTCAGTCATGTACGGATGGAGGTCTCCGACGTAAAGCGACCCCGCCGGCACACCCCCTGCCGTCGGCCCACCCCCCACCACCGTCTGAGAATTGTTAACGGCCATGATCGCACACAGATAATTAAAAAAATAAACTAAAAAATAAAATAAACAAATGCCCGGCGTTTCTCTTCGGTTCTTTGACGGTTCCTTGAATCTACAGTAATTGCACCACCAACTGTTAGAGAGAGAGTGGTTTTGATGAGTGAGAAAGTAAGATTTCCCTTTTTTTGGGTTTTTTGGATTTTTTCTGGAGAATTTTGGAGAGTTCAGAGATAAGGACTCACCCTCTGAAGATGAAAGGTGTTTTTATGTATGTGTATGTATATATTTTATTTGCATGGAGGTTGTTGGGGTTCTTTTTCACAAGGATTCGTTCCCATAACGGAGTGTGGACGCGCGTATCGGCGCGTTTTAGTACGCGCCGTGAAGGAATATGGCTTTTCGTGTGCGATTCGGTTTTTTTTTTTTTTTTTTTTTTTTTTTGTTTACATTCATATATTTTTACACTAAGGAAGCATGGAGTTCGGCTAAACAACATAATAGTCAACCTAATTTGATATCGAATTCATCATCCATGAGATTCAAACATGAGACCTCTCACTTCTAAATGAAAAAGTCTACCACCAGACTGTAGTACTAAATGTGATTCGGTTTTGCCACGTCATCCATCGTCAGTTGCACTTAGCAGTTCTAGTTGTGCAACTAAAAAAGGTCCCCTGCGTGTGGGCGAGTTGTTGGTTTTGTTTGGAAATTTACACAATTTAACACATGTTTAGAGTAAGAAATTTAAAATTACTAAAGAATTTTAAAATGATGAGATTTTATTTTCTAGAATTTATGAATTTTCTTGTTTAGTTAACAAAAAATAAAAAAAATGGAACTGTATACGAAATTTATTATTTTTAAACTCTCAATCATAGAAATTGGAAAATGATACATATTTACATGAAATTTAAACTTGGAAATTGGAAGTCTCAAATTCCAAGTTTCTTTCCACGTAGAAATTCTAAATTTATACATTTATGAATCCAAACAAGGGAATTGATGCATATCAATTTATAAATTCCAACTTTAATTCAAATTTCAAGTTTATTTCTCTCATCCAAACATAGTAAAGGAAATTTGCACGAGTGTAAGAAACTTTAATGTTTTTGGTTATAAAGGTTTTAAGGAATGTTATTGATTTTCCAAATAATCCGTCATTATTAATTTGCGTAATTAAATTTATTGATGTTGGATAATGTATGAACAAGTAAGAGTTGTTGATGATTGATACGAGAGCATGATATATTGATATACACTAATGTAAAAGCGCGTGAATTACGTTACTGTAATTGGGTACTATACTTTCACACACTTATCAAAGTGTAAGAGTGGAGTGGGAATGTCACTTCTCAAATTTAAGACGGTAATTTTTGTTTTAACTCATCTAGTCAGAAAAAATGCTTTATAAAGTTAAGATTTCATAAATTGTAAAGGAATTAACACTTTACATTACAGACATTATCTATAAGGTAGTGTTGTCCAACTATTCATTCTTTACTTCTCACATATTCCTCTCAATTTTCGATCATCGGATCAAATGAATTTAAAAGATCAATGAGAAAAAATTAACAAGAGTTTGTAAAATGTAAAACCGTACATAATTAAAATTAAAAATAAAATGGGACCAAGACAAGAAGAGCATGAAAATAGGTCACACATGTGGAATGGGAATGCCACATGTAAAAGAGAGAGTGGTAAGTGGGGTAAGTAAGTGGGGCCCAAGAGCGTAAGACTACTTCAACGTTCACACAACCATTTCTTCACAGGGATTATCGGCATTTTTCATATCCAGGATTTTAACCCAAGCAACGCCCTCTTTCACACTCGTAGTCCTTTTTACTCACTTATTTTCCTACCTGTTTTAAATTTTTTATTTTGCCTATAAATTATTAGTATCAAATTCTTTAGTCAAACGTGTCATTTATAAATAATAAAAAATATTTTTATATCGTAATATTAAGTAATTATTGAATGATAAATTAAATAAAAAGAATATCATTAGAGTCATTCAGCATTACGGTGTGGTAGTATTCCTCTTCATTTGAAAGTGAGAGGTCTTAGGTTCGAATCTCGTGAATGGTGAATTCGATACCAAATTAAGCTACCCATTGTGTGGCTGCCAAACTTCCTCTTTCCTTAGTGTAAAAATATCGATGTACTCAAAAAAAGTATACCATTAGGATATTTTTCATTAGTTAGTAGTAGTACAAGGAGTACAATTGCATTTAGGACAAAAATTTAGAAAACTTTAACGAAAAGCTCCCGATACTGTTCACTTTAATGAAAAACCAAACTTTTACACCAAAAAGGCAATCTTGGTGCTATTCACTTTATTCTTTATTTTGTCATTTTATTTAAAACTCAAAGTTTTCAAGTCATTTTCATTAGTTTTCCTAAAAATTTATTGCAGTAGCACGAAATGGTACAATTGCATTTAGAACACGTATTTGTATTTCTTGTTGGTATCTCTCTCTCCTGACATAACAAGTCCTAATATCAAATAAATCTCTTTACTCTCCCTGCTACATAAAGAGCAAGTGGATGAGCTTGTTATATGAAAGTTCCTTTCGACATTTAGACCAGGTATGGTACGAAAGACATAAGGGAGATATGTGGTCAAGCATATACGGAAGTTGTCACGTCAACACGAGTAGTACGGCTAGTGTCGAATGCAGAGAGGTTTAGGGGAGCATTAATAATAAGAGATGCAAAATCATGTAAATGTTGCAGTCCTATTAAATTAGGAGTGTGATTGTGTAAATCCTAACATATCTAGGATATCCTTCTGGGATTCTACCATATCTCTTAGACTAGATATTATTCTATTAGAGTTGTAATCCTATTAGGATAAGGAATTAACCTTCCCTACTACTATAAATAAAAGCACAATGGGGTGGAATAGAACACACATCACAATTACACATCTCTCTCTTTCTCTCTACTATTGCCGCACCCCTCTCTTTCTGGCCTCCATAATTGTTCAGTAAATTATGCTTACAACACGTTATCAGCACGCTCTTTACGCTGCGCTAAAGAGAGTTGATCTTCAATTAAGGGAGTATTACATTTTAATCATTCTTTTTATGATTAATTTATTATTTTGAATTGATCTACATGCTATTCATTCAATTTAATATTTCTTTGTTGCACGTGATACAACATATTGGAGATGCAATTCCAGCTTTCAGAGAAGGATTTTCTAGAAATTAAAAAGTTCAGTTGTTTTCTACCAATCAGGTTCTTTTAAAATAAATTAAGATATTTGAAATGACCATGAAGCATGAAAACATTCCCTATGATACATGAACCCCCTATATTTATATTTTCCTTTCAATTATATATATATATATATATATATATTGCATATGTGTTCATATATTTTGTCAATATATATACTTGTTCATGCAATACGTAATTATACCATGTGGAATTTGTGAGTCAAAGTATCGAAATTAATTTAGAAGCAATTAACGGTTTTTAACCTTAGAGATTCGGAAAAAAAAAAAAAAAAACAAAAAAAAAAAAGGGAAAATTGAGATTTTTGCAGCACCATCGTAGCACCATCGTGGCACCATCACGCTGGCCTGAAGCCCAGCCATGTGGAGGAAACGGTGTTGTACAGACACTTGGACCATGCGCACAACCTTTTGGGCTTGTTGCCATGTTGAAACCCAACCAGGCTCCGGTCTAGGTTGACTAACCCCATGGACCTAAAGCCCCGGTCCACATCCTAAGACCACAACCCACAAGCTTTTGATTGAGAAAGCCCTAGCATGTTGCTACCATAGCCAACCCTGTAGGTTATGCTTGTCCCATGGCCCCAGCTTCGCTAGGCCTTGCGTGAGATGACCACAAGACAGCTTTGGTTGGGCTTGCTCCCTGCGTTGGTCTCTGCCCAAGAACTCCAACAGCTTGCTGCTGGACTTCTTTCCCTCGGCTTGTGGCCTATTGCCACTTTTGGACTACTTTTGCGGCTAACCCAAGCCTCTAAGGGTTTTGCCCTACTCATGGCACCCAAGCCCAAACCCTTTTGGGCTATGATTTTCAAATCCAATACTATTTTTGGCATTTTAAATCATTTTAGCCTGAATGTTATTATTATTCTTACTTCTACAATCGACCTTGTACAGTCTGATTTATTGAATTAATTAAAGTGACCAGCAGTCCATTAATCTAACAATTAATCCAAAATTATTGGCTGAAGTCCACTTTTGGGCAATTAACGATTCAATAAATTATTTCGTTTCTTTGAACCGTTGACTCCCTTTCATAGTCCCGAAGCATTCACACTTGAGTTCCTAAAGCAACCCAAATCCACTACAATTAGTTGTATATTGTATTCTGTGTTTTTACAGGTACCTCCTCTTACGAACCAGAAGTTCTTAACCAAAACTCGAACATGTAGTTTGGAATTTAGTGCCTTTGAAACCCAAAGTTTTCATAGAACAAATACACCCATGACAACCCAACGTTTTCATGAAAACCATGTCTTAGAACTTGAAAGTTCTAACTTTGATGCTTATGGATGATTCATTCCCATAACACCAATCACAATCTTATTCCCTCCATTCAGTGGATTGTCGTACCGTAACAAGTTCGATTTTCCTGATTTGGATGTTTCTAATAGAAACCACTTTATGTGAGGTACAAGACATGAATCTCCATCTGACTATCAAGAAGCTAAGTAACCATTGAAGCCAACAATGGCATGGAAGAGCTGAATAAGCCTCTGTCATGATCTTCATTCGAAGACTTATACCCGAAGCATTACAAACGGAAATACCTTCTGAACGATGATTTCTATGGCTCTTTGGCTCACTTCTACAAACCGTTTAATCATGAAAGACATTGCTTAAAGCACACCATGATAACTTTTGTGAATCAATACGATTCTGAATTTTATAAATCTGATCGAATTTTGATTGGAGAATACTTTTCTCGTCCTTCCTTGTTTCTAGCTCGCTCCTGAAGTAACAATGTAGAGAATGGAAGTTTACTAAATTCTCGAATCTGATTATTACCACAAACGTGAAAGAAAGGTATAGAACCAGCTTCGGCTGGAGTCTATTGAACAGTATAGACCCAGTTCGACTTGAGTATACTGAATGGTTCAACCCAGTATGGTCAAAGTCTACCGAATAGTGATGCTCTACTTCAGTAGGGATGCATCGAATGGTATTGTTTTGCTTCGGCAGAGGCCTACCGAATAGACCCCTCCAGCCTTGGCTGTATCCCACCGAACCCAAGTTTGTGTCTTTCTTTTCACGATTCAATTTCGAGTTGTTTTTACAACCTATAGTAGAATCAGGGCCTGCCAATGTGTGGCATTATGCCCGAAGCATGATCCTTGGCACGTAAGACCTAAAATTTCAAGAATAAGGGATATTGTTCCTGAACCTCAACCCTGCAGAATCTACTTCCATCTCGATGGAATAGATCATTAGTTTTGCTCCTATTTGTGCCCGTACCAATGTTGTTGAAGCAGTACCATTCTAGTAGTCAATATGTGAGACTAATTTTGCTCCACCAAACACCGTTGGAAAAGCAGAATTTTGACATGGATGGCCTTGTTGGCTGAATCCCTTAGTAAGCCATTTACTTTGTGAACATTTTTTTATGTTGTTGGATTTACATTTGGTGTTTGTTTTAGTTATGGATAATCTTATCGATCTTGTCCTTGAAAATGAGTTAATTGAATCATGTTT